CTTGGCAGCAATGGCCGCAGGTGGTGCTTCTCTTCTTGCTGCTGCTGTTGTTATTGTTTTCTCCATGCTGATCACGTCCTCCCTGGGGGGCCCGAGGCCTTTATGCAGCTACTGCGAGACTCAATGCCGTACCAGCTGTGAGGCAGAGGCTAAAACACGCTGCAGTGGTTACTGCAGCCGTGGTGGCGGAGCTCGAGGGGGCTGCACGAAATACGTCCTTGATGAGTGCAACGTAAAGGGTACCTGCTGCAGTAGCAACGGCACATGCACTTGCGACTGCAACGCTGTGGCTGAAAGGGGTTGCATGCACTTCAGCGACGGCACCCTACAATGTGGACCTTGCACGCGCAGCATATTCGACCAGGGCTATCCCACCTGCAAAAAGGACTGCAACAACAACTGCAAGAAGAAAGGGTGCCGCCATGCCTAGCTAGGAATAACATGCATGTAGTCGGTCAGCTGCCTTGCATATATAGCAAATAACATGGCTCGTTGTAGTCGTGCGTAGACTTTCATAACCGCCATGACCTCGTTCTGTGGGATGGCATAGAAGGAATTAATGGGTCGTGGCGCATCACCTCCGGCGTTTTAGCTGTGGATTTGCATTCTGTTTATCTATACTGAATAATAACATGAAAAAGGAAAGAAATTTCAGAAAGTTGACATGGTGTGAAATTATCATTCTTCAATGTTCTTCTTCCATGGAGCTTGTGTATGTGTGTTGATTGGCTTGTATTCATCATCTTGTCTATCCAAGTATGCATTTGTGTGTCCTTGTAGTATCCAGTAATACTTGAAAGTGATGCGTGCCTTCGTCGTGCCATTTACTTTCTTTCGTTGTTGAGGAAACTGACCTTTTTTATGTAAAATAAATCACCTTCCCCTGATGATTAGAATGCTTGCGACCTTGCGTTTATAGAACCGTTTTTTTGTAGTGAAGTCAAGGCCTGTATGTATTAGACTAAGAGTGCTTATCTGTTTGAAGAGCATGGATAGAATGGCCAAACTGCGTAGATACATAGGAGTAAAATACGGTGAAAGTTAGTAGAAAATCATATTTGCGTCCAAGGGGAAACGTCCACACATAATGAAAAAAATCATCCAAAATCGCAAGGTAATAGAGATAGCAAGTATTACATGGAAAGGGGAGGTCCATACATCACCATGGATCAATTGAAAAGCAAAAGAAACAATAGTAGAAGATGAACTAAACAGAAGACAAACAAGCTTTCCAACACGACACTCGTGGCAAGTGTGCTCATTCAGAGTGCCATCTCATGGTGTTTCCTGACATGGTGGGGCTCCAAACTGCTGCCACGCCTCCAATGTAAACCAAGTATTCAGTTGGCGGCTTGGCGCACTCAGCCTATATATGAACCGGCAGATGCCATTTGGTTCTTCGGCTTTCTATAAGCCAAGTGCTTTTTCTAGGCTATACGGCTTACGGTTTTGTAAGTTCAGGGCTTTAACTGGGCAACCCGGCTTATATAATATAAGCCGAGTGCATTTTCAGGGCGATCGGGCTTAGATAATATATGCTGAGTGCTCGAGTACTGCACTCGGCTTATATGCCAAATTATTTTTCTTTTTTTGCTTTGTTTGCTGTAACAGCCCTGCAATTGAAACAACAATATAGATAGCTCCACCAAAGTCAACATGTATAGATATCCAACAATATATGTAGTAGCTCCACAAAGTTCAACATGCATACATATCCAACAAAGTTGCATATATCCAACAAATTCACACCAAACACAACAATATTGTCCATAAATATAAAATCATAACCATGAGCTCCACCACTGAGAACATAGCATGTAAGGCCACCGTCGGCATCCGCGATGCAAACCTACAAGTTCATTACAGCAAGCATGACTTTCCGAGTTTAGCATGTATCGGCAACAATCGCAGCCGACCCAGCCTGCAGGCAATCGCGGGCCGCCCCAACCTCGGCCATCCCAAGGTCACTTGCAGGCCGCCGCCCCAGGACATCCGTCATCCTGTCGCCTGCTTGCCCTCCTCCCGGCGCTCGCTCTCGTCTACATGGCCGTGTGCCTCCGCAGGTTGGACTAGCAAGCATATGTGGCTGAAGTGCATGCATGTACTGATTCGTACGATTCTATACTCAGCAGCCCCAAACACTAATCCATCACATCACATGCACTGCTAACCCAGGCATCCAGCGCCCCCGCGCGCGTACACACATCCAGGCATCCAGCACTAGTCTAGCCAGACACCTATCATCCATCCAGCACGCACACGAAATCAGAAACACACACAGGCCACAGCAACCAGAGGAGAGACTGTGCTTTCTATGTGAGGGAGGGTAGTATTACGAGGACGACGTCACCAGATGGTGGGCGTCGGTGGTGATACAGGGAAGGAAGCCATCTTGGAGCGACCGCCGGTCATGTGCGTCCGAGTAGATGGTGTGGGGCAGCTGCGTCGAATTGCCCGGTCCGCCTGCCTTCGTCGATGACCCCGGCGCGTTCTTGGCCTTGCTGAGTTTTAATGGACTACTACCCAAAATACCCTTGACTTGTCAAATTATGGTTGTTATATGTTCCCTCTTCCATTGAGCTCGTGTGTGTTTACGTCAACATGTCCATCCAAGTATGCATTTGTGTGTCGTTGTAGTTTCCAATAACACTAGAAAGTGATGCGCGCCTTCGTTATGTTCGTTGTTCAGGTAACTGTTCTTTTCTACTATTAAGTGCACTCATGAATTATGATGGATGCATGACGCAAGCACCGGACGTCCCTTCATCTCCAAAACCTATGAATCACAAGGATGATCAGTCTCGAAAACGAATTGAGCAACAGTTAGCAAGTCACATGATGCACCGAGGGCCGTGTCTTCTTGCCGCAACTTGCAGATAACAAGTCAATGTTCGCCCTACTACCAGACTAACATAAATCAGGAATTGTATATGGGGCTAGAGAAGACCAAATCAAAGTCAATTCATGCGATCTGGACACTACGAGCAATTAATGCACCACTTAATAAGAGCCCGTTGCAAGTAAATCTAGGATCAATCTGCCAATCTTGATCTCGTCAAAGTCAATGCTTCGTTAGAACAAGTACTCTACAATAGCAGGCATATAGCCCGTTCACATGACAATTTTGCCTATATAGAGGAGAGAGATATGAAGAAATGAGGAGAGTGGACTCTTATGAAAGAGTCTAGCTATATGTGTACTCAAAGGCAAATACAATTATATATATATATATATATATATAGGGTCACGCTATTCGTCACCCTGGGTAAGGAATAGTTATTCTTCACCTCCCTCTATTTTACCATCAATGCACCATAATTTTACGTTCCGTAAGTTTTTTATTTTTTCCGACGCAAAAAGAGACCGTAAGAAATATATAATCGCCGTAAAAAATATTTTATGTTATGTAAAATTATAAACGTAAAAATATAGTCTAGAATACACATAAACTGCAAATTTTCTTGTCTTATGACCTATATTTTTATTTTCTTATGTCAAATTTTACGTAGTGAATCAATAGGAATGTAACTATTTGAATTCCAAACGTAATTTAATTATAAAATGATCGTAAGATTACCTTGAATGAAGAATAACTTATTCTGCATCCTGAATGATGAATAGGAAAAATGTATACTACCATTTAGTGGTAGTTGCCTCCACCTTTTCCACCACAGGATTCTTTTAGATCCGTGCGTTTCTAAACGGGTTGCCGAACCAATGTTTCTTTACCAACCCGATTGGCCGTACCAAACTCTGCTATTTGCACGAACAACAAGTATATTATCCTCTAGTTTTTTTTATTTGCACGAACAGCAGGTATATTATCCTCTAGTTGGTTGAACCAACAGCTGAAAGCATGAATTAAATAATCGCATGGCCGCGTTGCCGCCGTCACACGGTTGGGTGGATCACAATTGCTTGACAAATTTCTCTCTAATAATTCCATCTTCCGATCCATCGTTCACTAAGAAACAAGGTTAATCAGTTTATGTAACTACATACACGATCTAGATTGCCAGGTTATGTATAATTAATGGATTTTCTCAATGCGATCTGGTCAGGAATTTTTTGCCGTGCGGCCGCGGTGGATCATAAGCATCTGATGGTACATCAATGGAGATCGGGCAACAGACTCAAGCGTAGATCTGCTGGTGTGATTTTTCATGCCTCTCCCACCATGTGATTGCAAAGCAGCCATCCAAGGTAGGCATGCACGCCAGGCACTGTCGACGACGGCGCCGTAGCAAGACGCATGCATGCCTGATGCTTGTGGCCATGATCGATGCTTGCGACCTCCCTGTGAATCTGTGATGCATACATGTCATCACGTATGATTCACGTATGTAGATATTATGTTTTTTATAATGTATATGGAGTGTCTCAAACTAGATGTACGCTGCCGCAAATAACATTCTTCATACTACGTTTTCAAATAAAGTATATAGACCACATACTCCCTTCTTCAAAACCGTATCTTCCACATACTCCCATGAGCTTAAAAAAAAGGTTCAAGCCACTGCTTCAAAATTAAGTGCATTCTTGCACACTCAATTTTTAGGTTCAAACAAAACTACATATAAAGGTTTCTTTGTAGAAGAAAAAATTATATACTCCCACTTTTTTTTGCGGGGTGATATACTCCCATTTCAAAGAAGATACACACATACTCAGTACTTAAATTTACAGATATACTACATACTACAAAGAAGAGTACTTGCATGTGCTCCATATATACTTCAAAAACAAACTATATACTACATACTAAACACCATTTTTTTTGGGTCATAGAATTTTTTTCTAACATATTTGTAGCAAAAAAAATGTTAATAGGGGATACTCTAATTTTATGTTAATACTCCATACTCCATACTCCATACTCCATACTCCAATAATTATATGCTAATACTCCATACTCGAAAAATTGAGAAGTATACTCTGTGAAGTAAAAAAGCAATATTTCTTATAGGATATTATGCATGGAAAACCTAAAAAGGATTATAAAGTTCACACTACATACTACCTCTTTCTAACAAAGACTATATACGTACTTAGAGAACAAAGTTTTCTTGCGTCTAACAAGAATAACAAGCGTCCATCTTGATGCTTATCCGATAGAGTTTGTTGCATGCACTTAGCCAAAAATTAAGGAGACAACGACTGAACCACCACGTCAGTTGCCGGATTATTTTATTACAAAATATGAATTCATGCCTATAATTGATTGGACTACACCCGTTAACCCAAATCCCTCTACGCGCCTGGCCGGGTGCTCTAGCGGGGGACACGTGGAGGCCAAATAGTTAGGAGGTAACTACCACTGCTTGTAGATAATATATATATATATATATATATATATATATATATATATATATATATATATATATATATATATATATATATACGGCTGCGCTAAAGTGCGCCTGAGCGCAA